CATGTGATTAACTCAAAGTGTTCCTTAAAATCATTTTTTAATGATTTCGATATTGTAACATTGCATTAGAAGCATGAAAAATAGAAAGTTTTTCCAAAAAGTCATTCATGGTTGTAAATTCCTGCAGCAAATGCATCTACCCATAACGAGCTTTTGGCAATTCTATCGATTTCGGGTGGTTATTACCGTTTCTTCAAATTATTCTATAATTCAAGTGGATCTATCATGGTTAAAAAAGTGGACATCCACTTGTGTGCATGTGTTTACACACCAGAGAGCTAGTAATCTTTATTATTCAATTTTATCCCTTCGTGAAGATGAAGACGATGGAAAATCACAACATTCATTTTATCTTGATTTGATACTTCATTATTTTAAAACCGTAAATGGGGCATAATTTTGTCATAATAAGTTTTCAATTAAAATTATTGTGAAGATAATATTACGGATGATGTTTCGTTAGAGAAAACCTTTTCTATTTTTCATGCTTCAAATGTATTGCTACAATATCAAATATTGTGAATAAAGTTTTAATAAATACGGTGAGTTAAGCACATGCCTACTTGTAGCGGAGCAGAATAACATTCAATAATGAAAAATCATGAACTTGTTCCGCTGGATCTGCTCCACCCCTTGAAGTGAATGTAGAGAAAAGACAAGATAATTATTGTGGTCGTGGCTATATATGTGGATGTGGATCTGCATTGAGAATCGAAACGGAAGAATTGATCATGTACTGCTGCATTGAATGGAGCTAATCCAGTGGGACAACTTTCATGATTTTTCATCAATAGAGTATTTTTCTGCTTAGTCACAAGTATGCATGTGATTACCTCAGAGTATTTCTGAAAACCCTTTTTATGGTATCGATATTGTAACATTGTATTAGAAGCATGAAAAATAGAAAAAGTTTTTCTAGCAAGTCATCATATATGTTATTATTTCCACATAATTATAATTGAAAACTTTTTTTTGAAAAACTAATAGAATTATACTTTTGGTTATAAATTCCTGCAACCATAAATACGTCTACAACGAGCTTTTAGTAATACTATCACTTTCGAGTGGTCATACCATTCCTTCAAATTATTTCACAATTTAAGTGGATCTTTCATGGTTAAAAAAAAGTGAACATCCACTTTTGTGTATGTGTTTACAACCCAGAGAACTAGTAATCCTCATTATTCAGTGTTCACCCTTCATGAAGATGATGATGATGGAAAATCACAACATTCTTTTTATCCTGATTTGGTACTTCGTTATTTTAAAATCGTAACTGCACATAATTTTGTCATTTTCAAAGTAAAGTTTCAATTAAAATTATGTGAAGATAATATCACAGATGATGTCTCGTTGAAGAATACATTTTCTTTTTCTTTTTTTTTAATGTTTCAAATGCATTGCTATAATATCAATATTGTGAAAAAGATTTTAAAAAGTACTTTGAGTTAATCACATGCCTACTTGAGCAGAATAATATTCAGTAATGAAAAATCATTAAACTCGTTCCACTGGACCTGCTCCATCCCTTGAAGTGAATGTAGAGAAGAGACAAGATAATTATTGTGGTCGTGGCTATAGGCGTGGATGTGGATATGCTTTGAGGATCAGAACTGAAGAGTTGATCATGTACTGCCACATTTACTTCGGGGAATAGAGCTGATCCAGTGGGACAACCTTCATGATATTCATCAACAGAGTATTATTCTACTTAGCCACAAGTAGGCATGTGATTAATTCAGAGTATTTCTTAAAACCCTTTTCACGATATCAATATTATAACATTGCATTAGAAGCATGAAAAATAGGAAAAAAAATTCCAACAAGTCATCATCTGTGATATTTTCTCCATATAATTTTAATTGAAAACTTATTTTGGTAACATTATTATTATACGTACTTTACCCTTCATGAAAATGATGAACAGGAAAATCACAGCCTGCACTTTATCCTAGGTAGATACTTCATTACTTTGAATCAAAGTATTCCAAAAACCTTGAGCGTCAAGATGAATTTTAGCATCAGCATCAAGGGTTTATGGTAAATGATTTTTGTAGTAATATCGAGTAGGATCCATGGTAAATAATTCTTTCGAGTAATGTCAAGTGCAACAAATGACAATGAAGGAATAAATCTGCTAGTTTAGTGGATAAAATGGACATACGCTAATGTTGATATATTTACAAAAGAACCATTGTCTCCCATTATAAAAAATAATGGATCCTTTTTGTGTGTGTGCACGTATATATATATATATATATATATATATAACACACAGAGAGCTACTAATCTTTATTATTCAGGCGATTGATTGAACAACTGGTGTAAGAGGTATTGAAGTCTTGATAAAAAATAATCTTCAGTATTGAAGCGATTGAATCATTGAACAACTGGTTTAAGATTGTAGAATTGACCATCAGATGGTAAGAGCGAACAAAAGCATTTTAAGGGACTTTCTCTTACATTAGTTGACCCTGAAGTCTTCTTTTGCTTTTTGGAGATTTAAAATGCCCCTCTTATAAGTCTTTCAGACATCGATAAAGGGTTAATAAGCTAAGAAATGTCTAGAGGGAATAATGACATTTTTCGTCATCTAGTGAGATCTGGTTTTGGTATGAGGACTCTATCAATCGCGATTAAATAAATGACATCCATCTTGGTCTTTTAAAAAAGAAGAAAAAATGCAAGAATTGTTGGTACTGTTATAAAAAAGTGAGTAAGTGTGTCTATGAGAGAATAGATGAGGTGGGGAGTGGGTGGTTACAGAATTGGTGAAAAGAATTAGATTAGGACAAGATTGCTCAGCCAAAGAAAATTAGATTAGGAAAGGATGTCCCTGCTAAGTGCCATTGTACCCTGTTATGTGTGGTCACTAGATTTTGATTAAGATGTCAAAGAAATAAGATTGATAATAATTTTGTCTTGCGATAATTATGTATTTCTTTGACGAAAAATATCTTCCACTTTCGTTAGTAGTTGTAGAGTTCAATTATGTTGCTATAACCGTTGTTCATTTTGATGTAGAGTATGCCCATTATGTCGAGGTGATATCTGCCAATCTGAGTCATTCCAAGGAAATGTTTAATATTGCTTGCCTGGATATCGTCTCTTGTATTAGTGTTGCAAGAGCAGGAGTACCTTCACATTACACTTAAAGAGTATGGTTCGAGAGTGTCCTGTTTCGATGCAGTTGTCCATCTCTTATTGTTGTAAAATATTCATTTGTGATAGAAACTTATACTTTCTCAGCAAAGATGGATCAACTACTGTATGATCTGGGGAGAGATTTCAAATGGCTTCTTTGAGATTTACCGCTGTGAGAAATCAATATGATTCATGATATTCGCCAGAAGTATCTTTTTTATTCTTAGTCTTTCTTTCTTTTCATTGATAAATAGATAATGTACGCCACGAGGGTCAATTGCTCCATTAAGAACAGTCATTTAAAGAAAAGAATTATTCAATTGAATAGGAGGAAAAAGTGGGAAGGGAGACGATGAAAGTTGAACCCAAATCTATTGTGTGGAAGATTTTCACCCATAATACTATACTTTTTTTTTTTTTTGATGAAGTAAGATAATATCATTGAAATGGCATCAGGAGGATGCCAAATTACAAGAACAGAACTTATGTTAGCTCTCGTACAAAAGACAAAAAACACTGTAAGCTTCATTACAAGAGTACCTATGCTATAACTAGGGAGCTAACAAAATCCAAAAAAGTGTTTACCCTAATAACAGGGGAAAGAAAGTTCCAACTGAACAAACTAACTAAACATCTAGCTTTTAGGGAATGTATTGGAGTTGATATTCCATCAAAACATCTGCCATTTCTTTTCTTCCAAACAATCCAAAATATGACTGCTTGGATTATTTTCCATATTCTTTTGATGGCTTTGTCAACTCTACAAAAAATCCAGCTAATATAGGCTTCCTTGATGGTGTGAGGCATGGTCCAAGTTATACCGAAAATGGATAAGAAGAAGTTCTAAATATCAGCAGTGACTGGGCACTGAAGAAACATATGGTTAACACTTTCTTATTTCTGTTAGGACATATAACATCTGTTGACTAAAGTAATGCTCCTTCTGCTAAGATTGTCCTGTGTTAAAACAGCTTCATTGAGGGCTGTCCATGTGAGGCATGCTACTTTGAGTGGCATTCTGGTCCTCCAGACATGTTTCCAGGGCCAATCCTCTAATATTCTATTATGTGAGCAGATAAGGTTGTAATCCTCTTTGATTGTCCTTCTTTTGAATTCCCCCAGATGATTCTGTCTCGTTGTTGATCTTCCGTGATGAAATCTCCTAATGTGGCTAGGAGAGCAAGTAAGTCATTGATTTCCCAATCCTGAAGATTTCTTCTAAACACTGGATTCCAAATGTTGTTCTCTCTATTTTGAGCAATATTTGAGTCCTGATTGCAGGCTATTAGGTGTAGACCTGGGTATGAATCCTTTAGTGTTGTATTACCAAGCCATATGTCTTTCCAGAATTTCACATGAACACCACTGCCAACTTTGAATGATTTATTCTGAAAGAAATCATTTTGAAAGTTGCTGATGTGTTTCCATAAACCCACTCCATGAGGTGCTGAACTTTTCTTGGGGCTCCAATGATTCTGAATTTCATATTTGGCGTCAATGATCTCCTTCCAGTAACATGCTTCAGTTTGTCCATACCTCCATAGCCATTTCATTAGCATACATTTGTTGTGAAGCCTAAGATTCCTGATACCCAATCCCCCATAAGACTTTGGTTGAGTTACTTTTGGCCACCTAACAAGTGAAATTTTTTGAGTCTCACTGTTTCCTTCCCATAAAAACCTTCTTTTTAGCCGGTCTAGTTGTTTCAGGACTAAGCTTGGTATAGAAAATAGAGACATGTAATAAGATGGTATGTTGTCAAGGACACTACTGATCACTGTGAGTCTGCCTCCCATCGAGAGATATTGCATTTTCCAGGTTGCTAGTCTCCTTTCAACTTTTTCAATGACTTCATTCTAAATTCCAGTGGATTTGAATTTGGCTCCCAAGGGGAGTCCTAAATAAGTTGTGGGGAAGGAGCCAGTTTTGCAGCTAAGTATTTCAGCTAAATCCTCCAAATTTTGAACCTCGTTCACTGGATAAATAATGCTTTTAAGCATATTGATGTGTAGCCCGGACAATACTTCAAAAATGAGTAAGATGAGATTGAGATTGATTACTTGTGACCTTTCTGTATCACAGAAGATCAATGTGTCATTTGCATATAGCAGGTGTGATACAGTGACTGAATTTGCAGGATTTCTCCCCACCTGAAAACCTTGTATCCATCGAAGCTCTTTTGCCCTTCCTAGAATATGTGAGAGACCCTCCATTGCCAATATAAAGAGAAAAGGAGAGAGTTGATCTCCTTGCCTGAGGCCTTTATGAGGAGAAAAGAAACCTACAGGACTTCTGTTAACCAACACAAAATACTTCACAGTTGATATGCAAAATTTTATCTACCTATCTCCAAATTCCATCTTCTTTAAGATGTTGGTGAGATATGCCCAACTCAATTGATCAAAAGCTTTTTCAATGTCTAATTTGCACAGCAAACCTGTTTCACCACTTTTGATTCTCCAATCCAAGACCTCATTAGCAATCAGGGAGGCATGTGTGATCTGCCTATTTTTTATAAAAGCACTTTGTTGCCCAGAGATCAACTTGGCAATGATCTTTTTTAATCTTTCAACCAAAATTTTTGCAGCTATCTTGTAAACACTCCCTGTTAAACTGATAGGTCTATAGTCCTTTAGTTCTATTGCTCCTTTCCTTTTGGAGATAAGAGCAATAAATGCAGCATTGCAGGATTTGACCGTATGACAACTATGATAGAAGTGATTGAGAGCCTTCATGATATTTGTTTTAAAAAAATCCCATGCCTTTTGAAAGAAGGCCATAGTGAACCCATCGGGGCCTGGTACTTTATCAGGAGCACAAGACTTTAAGGCTGCTAAGACTTCTGATTCCTCAAAAGATGATTCTAGATCAACACATTCATCTGCAGATAATGAGGGTAACCCCTCAAACTCTGTTGTAGGTCTCTACGGTTCCCTTTCCCTGTACAAAGCCTGATAATAATCCAGTATTTCCTGTTTGATATGCTCCTTATCTTCAACTAAATTTTCTCCCACTTTGAGCCTATCAACTCAATTGTTCCTCCTTTGAGAATTAGCAATTTTCTGAAAATACTTTGTGTTTCTGTCTCCCTCCTTTAGCCATAAGCATCTGGATTTTTGTCTCCAAAAGACTTCTTCAGCTAGTGCAATCTGTTGAAGTTCCAATTTGAGATTGAAGGTCCTCAACTTTTCCTTTGGAGAATGTATCTTATGTTCAGCCACTTGATCCAAGAGTCTTAACTCATCAAGTGTGTCACGACCCGAAATTTTCACCGACGGGATCGTGATGGCGCCTAACATTTCACTTGTTAGGCAAGCCAACGTTAGAGAATCATTAACCAATTCCTTATTTCCATTCAATAATTAACAATAATTAACTAAGATGAAATATAATAAGTGTGGAATATCATAAATCAATATTGACTACTACCACCCGGATCTGGAGTCACAATTCACGAGCATTCTAGAATTTACAACAAGTAATAGTCTGAAAGAAATACAATTGTCTGGATGAAAGAAAACAGTAAGACATAAAGGATAGACGGGAACTTCAATGTCTGCGAACGCCGACAGATCTACCTTGAGTCTCCAGATAGCGGACCAGTAGCAAATCTCGATCAACCTGAGCCAGTATCAAAATCTGCACAGAAAGTGTAGAGTGCAGCATCAGTACAACCGACCCCATGTACTGGTAAGTATCGAGCCTAACCTCGGCAAAGTAGTGATGAGGCTAGGACAAGACACCCACATATAACCTGAACAGTATAATCATGCTAGTGGCAACAACAGTAAATAAGAAATAATGCAGAAATAATGGGAGGGGAATATACAGTGGGGGAATACAACATAAAGAGTGAGAATAATAAAAAGACAAAATTAAACCGGAAATCCTTAAACGAATTGAGCAATTAAGACAGCAAGTGCACGGCATCACCCTTCGTGCTTTTACTCTCAACCTCACCAAGTAACAAATAAGACTGCACGGCATCACCTTTCGTGCTTTTACTCTCAACCTCACCAAGTAACAAATAAGACTGCACGGCATCACCTTTCGTGCTTTTACTCTCTTCCTCACAATATAAATAAATCATGCATGACATCACCCTTCGTGCTTTACACTCTTTCTCACAATATAAATAAATCATGCACAGCATCACCCTTCGTGCTTTACACTCTTCCTCACAATATAAATAAATCATGCACGGCATCACCCTTCGTGCTTTACACTCTTCTTCACAATTCATACAATCAATAACAACAGATAGAGAAGTTTCACAAGAAATCATTATTTCATTAATGATTACTTTCACAATTTAACATCTCAACCTCGAATCAATATTCACAATTTTATCGACCTTGGTGGAACCGGGTACAAGTCTCCCAATATTTCAACAACAACAGTAAGCATAGATAACAAGATTTAAGACTATAAATTTGCAAGAAAATAAAATTTCACTCGCATGCTATGACTCGACCACAACGTATAGATGCTCGTCACCTCAACTATACATCGTATTTAACAACAAAACACGTAGCAATTACTCACACAATACCTATTCCCTCAATCCAAAGTTAGACACAACACTTACCTCGCTCCGAAGGCCACTTAATTCTCAATCACAGCTTTTTCTTTGGAATTTACCTCCAAACCACTCGTATCTATTTAAAAATGACTCAATAGTATCAAATATTGCTAAAGGAATCAATTACATTGCATAAATCTAGATTTCCTAAATTTTCCTCCAAAAAGTCGAAAATCGACCCCGGCCCGCTTGGTCAAAACCCGAGGTTCGGACCAAAATCTATTCACCCATTCACCCCGAGCCCGAATATATAATTGGTTGTGGAATCCGACCATAAATTGTGGTCTAAATCCCCAAATTCCCGAAATTCCTAGTTTCTACCCTAACCCCTAATTCTACCATGAAAACTCTAGATTTTAGGTTGAAAATTCAAGAAATGTAATGGGTAATTGAAAGAAAATGGTTTAGAATCACTTACCAATAATTTGGGGAAGAAAATGACTCTTGGAAATCGCCTCTACCTGTTTGGTTCTTGAAAAATGTTGAAGAAATGGCTCAAACCCGTGTTTGGAGTCTGTTTTAAGTCACTGGATAGGCCTTCATCGCGTTCACGACAGGCCTGTCGCGATCGCGATGCACAGCGGCCTAAGGCCTTCGCGTTCGCGAGTCTTTCTACGCGTTTGCGTAAGGCAACTCCCCCCAAGCCTTCGCGTTCGCGACCCAGTGGACGCGTTCGCGTAGAAGAACATGAATCCCCCTCTCCCCGAGGTCAGTTGAACTATCGCGTTCGCGTGAGACAGATCGCGTTCGCGAAGGGTACCACCCCCAACGCTTTGCGTTCGCGACCTGTCCTTCACGTTCGCGAAGAAGGAATTTCCCTTGCCCCATTTTACCTTTCGCGTTCGCGACACTACCTATGCGAACGCGAAGAAGGGCACATCAGAACAGCTGTTGCAGCAAAAATCTCAGATTTTCTAAGTGTAAATCACCCTGTAGTCTATCCGAAACTCACCCGAGCCCTCGGGGCTCCAAACCAAACATGCACACAAGTCTAAAAACATCATACGAACTTGCCGGCGCGATCAAATCGCCAAAATAACACCTAGAACTACGAATTTAGCACCAAATCAAATGAAATTCTCAAGAACACTTTAAAATTCATATCTTCTCAACTGGACGTCCGAAACACGTCATATCAACTCTGTTTCTCACAAAATTTCACAAACAAGTCTTAAATATCATAATAAACCTATACCGGGCTCTAGAATCAAAATACGGACCCGATACTAACAATGCCAAATATCAATCAATTCTTAAAAACAATTAATTTTTACACTTTTAATTTTCATCAAAAATTCATAACTTGAGCTAGGGACCTCCGAATTCGATTTCGGGCATCCGTCCAGGTCCCATAATTCGATACGGACCTACCGGGACTGTCAAAATATGGATCCGGGCCCGTTTACCAAAAATATTGACCGAAGCCAACTAAAATCAACTTTTAAGGCAAAATTTTTTATTTTTATTAGTTTTCAACATAAAAGTTTTTAAAAATTTGCCCGGACTGCGCACGTAAATCGAGGAAGGTAAAAATGAGATTTTAAGGCTTAAGAGCATAGATTCGAGTTCTAAAACATAAGATGACCTTTTGGGTCATCACAAAGTGCCTTGTTCCTTTTGTCTTCCAACTTGCCATGCACTTCTCTATTCCAGGTTGTTATGTCCTTCTTTAAGGATCTCAACTTCTGGATGAGAATATAGTCTAGGGAGCCAATGATTGTATAGGATTGCCACCATTCTTTTATCATATCCATAGACCCTTCAGTTTGTAGCCACATATTTTCAAACTTGAAGTAGGATGGTGTCGGTTCCCAGTCTCCACTTTCCAGGAGGATTGGTTTGTGGTTTGAAATTACCTTGGGCATTGATAGCTGTTTTACTGCTTTAAATGAATCACCCCATTCAGTTGAATGCAAAAATCTGTCAATTCTGGACGCTTGTGTAAAGTTCTCCCCTCTTGACCATGTGTATTGTACTCCATTAAGAGGAGGATCAATCAAGCCCAGCTCCAATATAAAATTTGAGAAGTCGATCATTGCCCTAGATCTTCTGGAGCAATTAAGTCTTTCACTTTCATATCTGCATGCATTGAAATCTCCGCCGATTACCCATTGGTCTGACCATAAACCACCGATTGCTGCCAATTCATGCCAAAATTCCTTCCTTTCTGGGTTGGTATGAGGGCCATAGACCCCTGTGTAAGCCCATTTGAAATCTTCAGTTAAACTCTCAAATCTGCAGGTTATTAAGAAGTCTGCTGATTGAGTATCAATACAATGCCACAACCTTCTATCCCACATAATAATGACCCCCCCTTTATTTCCCCAAGCCTTGAGTTCAGCCCATGATACCCATCTGTTGCCCCCATATTTGCATGGACAGAGAATTGTTCCAATCCTCAATTTTAGTTTCCTGAATACAAAGGATGTCTACTCTCCATTTACGAATCAGAGACTCCAAAGTACTTCTTTTATTCTTGTCATTTAGTCCCCGCACATTCCAGTTTAGGATTTTGACCTTCATGCGGAATGAGATTGGTGAGACCTACCTCTAACCTTTCTGTCATTGCCTTCTTGAAGACCCCAAGCCAGTTTTTTAAGTTCTGCTTCCCCTTTATTCTTCCCCTTTCTAGGGCTTGCTACTGCCTTAGCCTGTTGTTGTTGAAGCAGTAGTTGAGCCTTTCTTCTCTCCCCCATCCTTAAAATGATACCCAAGATGTCATGTTCGAACCCTGCCGCATTTACACCAAAAGCTTTGCAAGCTTTTACCAATGCAATTTTGGTCCACCTTGATGTTTCGACCTCTGTTGGTTTGTCCATCACTTACATGGTAAGATCTAGTCGATCATGCCATGGGAGAGAGAGAAAGTCATTGAAAGACTGAGTGGAGAAGTCTGATTCCGAGTCACTTACCTTAGCTGATTCTGAGAGTAAAAATAATTGCGAAATGGGTGGCTCAGCTTCATCATCTGCACCGAATTGGGTGTGAGATGTTTCACCTATTCCTTCTTTGTTCATGTGAGTGGAAGCTTGGATCTCCTCAGACAGAGGGTCGAAATAATTTTTAATCTCTATCATATGACCCTTTAGAAGACATGGGTCATTATTATTCCTTAGCACCTTCCATGTATTACAATTGTTGGGCCTTTTAAAATATTTCTTCTGCTTTGGCCCACTTGAATAGTACCCATTATAAAAGCCCAATGTTTTGGCTTTATGGGTCTTAATATTTGTAGTAGTTGTAACTGGACCTTTTAATTTTGCAGCTGGCCCCTTCACATGTAAAATCCCAGGGTGACTTTTAAAGTTAGAGTTGGTCCCTACATTAGACATATCCTTGCTGACCTGTACAAGATTCGAGACCTCAGAGCCCACATGGTCCTTTGTTACCTTTTCCGTTGGCCTTACTGTTACAGAGGGTAATGTGTTTGGACTGCTGGGTATTGGAGTTGGTTGGTTCTCGCTATTATCGAGATTTCAAATCTCAAACCTCCTCAATCTATTCTAACCTTTGCCTGCTTGCCGGAGTTCCTGATGCAAATTCGAGCCTAGAAAAAATGCTTTCTGCTCTTTGTATCTGCATCTACTCCAACATAGCCGCCGCACTGATGTCCAATTTGTTTGAAGATTTCGGATGTCCACGCATGGATGGGGATCCCGAAAGTTTTCACCCATAAAAATTCCGGGAAGCTATCAACAGAAATAGTTCCATAACACGGCGTCCACCATTGTAAATGTAGATATCGACCGCTCCAGAACCAATTCCCTGCACTGATTCTAACAGCCTCTTGTCTTGATGGGAACTCGAATAAGAAACGATTGTGGTCTATGGGGGTATCTTTAAGTCCTGCACTGATTTTTCATCTGCCACGGAACCAATTCTGAATGGTTTCTATGCTTGGGCTATTGCTAAATGGGACGTTGAAAGTTCCAATCAAACATCTAAAGATTGGGTGTGTAACTTCTTTAAACTTCGAAGATGGTGGGATCAGAATGTCTGTCCAGCTCTCAATCTTTGCAGCTTCGAAATAGCTCCTAAGTAATGGAGATGGTGGTTGTATAGGGCCATTACTGTTGTGGCTTCCTATAAATCGGAGGATGTTTTCAGCAATATCAACCCAGCCACTATTATAATCTGCTTCCGGAATAATCACCGCTGATTTTCTGCTTCTTTGCCACACTTCTATTCTTACAAATCTGCCATAGATATTATAATTCTGATAGACTCTGTGAAGATATTGTTGTTGTTTTTTCCCCCATCTTCTGTAAAGATCTCCTCTCCCCTTGATGCTTGCTTCAAAGCATCACATACCCATCGTAAATTATTCTCGTCGATGCTAATTCTGCTAGTGAAACGGCTGCTTCTTTCGATGAGTGAATACCACCTAATCTGAGCATTCCCGATGTTGATGAGTTCAAAAGATTTTTTCCCTGAAATGAAAAAAGTTTGTTCCCCAGTAAAAAAATCCAATATTGCCTGAAGCAGGCCTTACCAGAAAAATTTTCAAAAGGAAAGAGAAAGAAAGGGCACATTTCCCAAGTCAGAGAGAAAAGTTAGAGAGAACATTTTTCTTTTTGGCTGATATTTTTCACCCATAATACTATACTATAAGTCTTGTAATTATAGATAGTTTTAGTTACCAGTAAAGAAAAAGGTACGAAGTAGAGATTGTTATTTTGAAATAAGAATTTAAAGTTTGAATATTAGGTGAGAATGAGAATTATTCTATTGAAATGAGAAAACCGTGATAAGATTAAAAGAAGGAAAAGAAAAAAAAATATACTGTGACGAATAGTGTAATGAAGAGGTTTAATTATATCCCTGAACCCTTTATTGCAAAATTATACTGTGACGAATAGCATCTTTGTGACAAACCCCCGGTCAAGCACATGACAATCATATTAATTAAGTACGTATCTACTCTGTTGACAGTCTACAATTAACGATACCTAATTAATGTTAGAAATTATTAAGTATAAAAGATAGAAGAGTAAAATTTATGAAGAGACCAAGGGAGTTCTTAAATATTGCTAATTGCCGAATCTGTAAAATTTCGTTGTTGCCTATGAGTATTATTGGCCTAGAAATTGTGAGGGTGTACTCTCTAAAGAAAGTGATTTACAACAAGGTCTTGACATCTACTTTTGTCTCTCTTCTTATCTCCCAATTTTTCCAACCATAATGTAGTGATTTCGATGATAAAACAACTATACATTAATTACAGATAACTTTTAAACCTTACTTTAGGAAACCCAAATAAACTGGGAAAAGAATTTTAATTTTCACAGAACAAATGTAATCCTGCATATTTTGGTAAGTTGTTGTACAGTAAGTTTATATTTAGGTTTGTTGTTGTATAGTATGTTTATCTTTTGGTAAGGTGTTGTATAGTATGTTAGTAATATTTTGGTAAGTTGTTTTATAGTAAGTTTGTCTATTGAAATTGTTTTGTATGTAATCCCATAGTTATAAAAGAATCTTGCCCTTTATATAATAATAATAATAGTGTGGAACTCATCAAGCAAGCATTTCATTAAAATCTAACTATACAGTGAGGGAAGATGGAAATGAAAGTTGAAATTACACACAAAGATACAATCAAACCATCTTCTCCAACACCTCTAAGCCAAAGAGATTACAAGCTTTCCCTTATAGATCAATTAACCCCAGGTCCTTATGTTCCTATTGTCCTCTTCTATGACTCAACCACCAAATTCTGCCATGATCTCCTCAAAAAATCCCTATCAAAAACCTTGAATTATATGTACCCTCTAGCTGGAAGAATAAAGGATGATTTCACAATCGAATGCAACGATAAAGGAGTCGATTTTCTTGAAGCAAATGTAAGTAACATTACTTTGTCCAACATTGTCAATGACCCAAAAATTGGAACTCTTTCTCAACTTCTTCCATGCCATCCTCATGCAAGATCTAAAGAACCAAGTGATCAAGTTTTGCTAGCAGTTCAAGTGACTAAGTTCCCTTGTGGAGGAATTTCCATTGGTGTTTGTGTTTGGCATCTAATTGCTGATGCATCTACACTTGTCACTCTTGTCAAAACTTGGGCAACAATGAATCAAGAAAATGGTCAAGAGAGTAATGTCATTGGCAATGGCTACATAGTCAATGTTACTGGGATCTTTCCTCCCAGAGATCTTAGTAATAATCCCTTGTTAACCATGGTTCCAATCCCAGAAGAGTTGCCTTTCAAAATATCAATGAAGAGATTCATATTTGATAACTCAAAGCTAGCTGCATTAATACAGAGTTGCCCTATTTGTCCGACTCGTTTTGAGGCTCTGTCGGCTTTCCTATGGTCAGCAATTATATCAACATGGAAAGACAAAAAAAGTGAAATCAAAGTTTGCATACTAATGACATCAATCAATCTAAGGAAGAGAATGATACCTAATTTACCAACAAATAGCATGGGGAATCTTATTTATCCAACAATGGCTAAATGGGAAGTTGAAGAAGAAGGAGTCATTGATTACAAAAAGTTGGTGGAAAGAGTTCAAGAATCAATAAGGATGGTGGAAGATAGTTATATAAGAAGGATTCATGAGAAAAATGGATACATAGATTACTTGAACTCAATACTTGAGTTGTGTATAACTAGAGGGAATGAAGTAGGAATTGCTGGTTGTATTAGTTGGTGTAAGCTTCCATTTGATGAAGCTGATTTTGGATGGGGTAAACCTATTTGGATAGCTAATCCTATGAAGTTTCCATGTGGTTTCAATCTTTTAGATACTGTTGATGGCAAGGGAATTGAAGTATGGATGGGATTGCCAGAAGAGGAGATGCAGTTGCTGGAGAAGAATAAAGATTTCTTATCATATGTTTCTTTAAGTCAACATGTTTGAATTCATATTAGAATTTGCTTAAGGTTTGAATGGTCGCTTTAGATTTAAGACTACTGTCCAGAAAAGAAGAATTAATAAATTTATGAGTATGTTTTTTATTTTGGAATCTTTGCTATCTAGTATGTTTTTTATTTGTTTGGAATTCCTCATCACTTTAATAACATTTTATGTCAATCATTTGGCTATTTAGTACTACTCAATATTTAATTTACAGATAAAAATAAAATTTCAATGAGATATTAAGAAAAGTTACTAAAATAAAAAATATTTGAAAACTGAGGTGAATATATTTGTTGTAAAGGAACAACAAATAAAAGCAGACAAGACTAGCTATACTACTCCCTCCTGGACGATTGATTATCAAGTAAAACGTTGAGAATAATGTAATTTATTTAGAAGGAAGTTGGTCCCAAAGTTGAGATAAAGTTGAAATTTTAAACCTAGTAACATTTCAAATATTAAGAATAATTCTAAAAAGAAACCGTCTAGTAAAGTTTCGGGTTGTATGGTAATACTGTAGTAATATATATTTCTAATGGTAATATCTCTCGAAATAGGAGCATGACGAGTGTGTAAAACAATCATTGTTTAGAATCAAACATGTCAAAATCAGGAGATATTACTTAGTTACGATGTAATAGAATTAAACCTTTTTAGTTCCGAAGACCCTCTCAAACATGTCAATAGCTTTAATGAATTATTTACACACTTGATCCTTTTTTAACTATTATTTAAAAAAATAGCATCATTTTTTATTTATTCCATAAAGAACACTTTTTTTTCATTATTATCATATTACAAAAATTAAGCCTAACATTCATCTTCTTCACTCCAATTTTTAAAATCTGATGCATATGTGAATGCCACCTAAATTCAAGATGTATTGATTTATACGTCTTTTATACTTTGTAGATCAAGTATCACTTTAAATCAAAATGTATTTTTATGTATATAATTTTTATATATTTATTTGTGAAGTGCCATCTTATTTTAAGATGTATTNATATATTTTTTATGTATATTTCACATGTCTAAATATCATCTTAATTGAAGATGTATTTTTTATGTATATTTTTTGTATATGTTATATGTGTTAAGTCAATATATATATTTTTTATATACGTTTTGTATATATTAACGTATATTATTATCGAAGTAAGATCTTTATGTTAAGAAAGGAAGAAAGAAGGAAGAGAAAAACTTAAGAAAGATAATTAAAAAGAAAACGAATGGAACACATTTAGAAAATATATTGGCTTCGGTAGAAAAAAAATTAAGAAGATGAAGAAAAAGAAGGAAACCTAATAGATAAAGAGAAAAAACGACGTGATTTTTGTACAAAGAATTATTGACTTTCCATTCAAATTGCTTATGTTTAGAGATTAATAATTAATATTCCTATTTTAATGAAACTGTATTTTACAAATATAAATATTTTCCTGCCACAACTATAATATTGGATTTCATGCTAAGAATTTGTTATATTTCGTTTAAATTGTGACAGTTATGTAAAGTTCCCTAGTTTAATTGCTTGCAAGGAAATCAACAACATGTAAATCTGCCATCCCACCAATGTTTTAAAGGAAAAATTTGACTCTTTTCAGACAAAGCAGCCTCTAAACACCTCAAGACAACAAAGTCAGAAGTTAATGCCTTAGGTCTTCGATTTGCTTCAGACATGATTATCTGTAACGACCCAACCAGTTGTTTTGAGTATTTGTACTTCGCTCGGTAGTTTACGGGCATGAATAGCTCCATATGATGTATTATAACTTATGTGAATCGTCGGTTTTGGTTTTCAGGTTATTCAGAATCGAATTGGAAGAATGGATTTCATTGTTGAAACTTTAAATTGAGAGAGTTGACCAATTTTGACTTTTTATAAATTTGAACCCGGAACTGAGTTTTGATGGTTCTGGTAGGTCCGTTGGGTGATTTTGGACTTAGGAGCGCGTCCGGATTGTGATTTGGAGGTTCGTAGTGGAATTTGGCTTGAAATGACGAAAGTTAGATTTTTAAAAAGTTTGACATGGAGTGGACATTTTGATATCGGATTCGGATTGTGATCCCGGGAAATAGAATAGCTTCGTTATGTCATTTGGGACTTGTGTGCAAAATTTGAGGTCAATTGGACGTGATTTGATAGGTTTCGGCATCAGTTGTTGAAGTTTGAAGTTTCAAGTTCATTGATTTCGAATTGAGGTGTGATTCGTTGTTTTGATGTTGTTATGTGTGTTTTGAGATCTTGAGTAGGTCCGTATTATGTTATGGGACTTGTTGGTATATTTGAACGGGGTTCCGAGGGGCTCGGGCGTATTTCGGATTGATTTCGGGCAATTCTCCTTCATTTTTGGCACTACTGTGTTCTGTTGGTTTCTGGTGTCTGAGCCCTTCATCGCGTTCGCATGGCATGTATCGCGAACGCGTAGTGTATTTTGATGGCAGTGGCATTTCTTCATCGCATTCGCGAATATTGGTCCGCGTTCGCATAGAGTTGGGGCAAGTATTCTTCGCATTCGCGTATGAGGGATCGCGTTCGCGTTGGGTTGAACTAGGAGCTGGAGCTGGAGGCCTTTCTTCATCGCGTTCACGTAGTTGGAACCGTGTTCGCGTAGTACTGTCCCCGGTGTGTATCGTGTTCGCGGGGCTTGTGCCGCGAACGCGCAAAGTATTTTTGGGTGACTGATATTTTGTTCATCGCAAACGCGATGGTTTTCCCGCGTTCGCGAAAGAGGACGACTGGGCAGTGTATATAGTACTCTATTTCGAAGGTTTCAGACATTTTTACATTTTTGGAGCTATGGAGCTCGGATTGAGGCGATTCTTGAAGCAAATTTGACCATATGAATTGGGATAATTGTTCTCTACTCAGTTTTGGTTATATTTCATGAATCTATCTTTGATTCTAGCTTTTGGTTGATGATTTTCAAAGAGGAAATTGGGGGGTTTTGGCCTAAAGTTTCATAATGTGAATTTTTGAGTTTTGAACATCGATTTGGAGTCGGATATGAGTGAAACTAGTATGGTTGGATTCATAATTGAATGGGTTGTCGGATTTTGTGAGTTTTATTGGGTTCCGAGGTGCGGGCCCGAGTTGGACGTCTTGGCCGATTTTGGGTATTTGATTAAAGATTTGACCTTTTTTATTGAGTTTGTTTCCTTGGGCTTTATTTGATGTATTTGAGTTGCTTTTGCCTAGATTTGAGCCGTTCGTAGGTCGCTACGCGCGTGATAACATCTTTGGAGCATCGCTTGGCTTGCTCGGCATTAGTATTGGCTTGTTCGAGGTAAGTAATACTTCTAAACTTTGTGCTGAGGGTATGAAACCCCGAATTACGTGTTATATGATTGGTGTTGAGGTGACACACATACTAGGTGACGAGAGTGTGGGCGTGCATCATGTAAGTTGTAATTCTGTTATTTTTGTGGTACTGTGTAGCTACCTTATCATATCTGTAAACATGAAATCCACGTACTAGAGCTATTGAGTTGTGATTCATGTTAGAAACCATGTCTAGGATACGTGCTTACTCTGTTGGGACCCATTGAGATCATTATTGCTATTGAGTTATTTGCTTACATTGCAATTTCATACTCAGTCATGTTCATTCATTTCATATCATACTTCAGTCTCTGTTGCTACATATTGATACATCACATCATTATTTTGTGCTGATATTTCATGACATTGAGAGCCCGAGAGACTGGAGAGATTGATGACTGAGTGAGGCCGAGGGCCTGATTGTGAGATATTATATTATAGCACGTGAGTTGTCCATGCGGATTCAGATGTTATACTATAGCACATGAGTTGTCCGTGCGGATCTAGATGTTATACTATAGCACGTGCATTGTCCGTACGGATCCAGATATTGATACTATATCATGTGAGTTGTCCGTGCAGCACGTGATTTGCCTGTGCGGATTATGGCGCTTGGGCTGTAGGAGCCCCTCCGGAGTCTGTACATACCCCCAGTGAGCACAGGTACCTACTGAGTGCGAGTGCCGAGTGATTGGGAGGACTGAGTGACTGTGAGGATTGAGTGAATTGATACTCTAAGTGTATGCATATGGTCTTTATCACTGATTTGCATTGCATTTGGCATGCACACTTGATATACATGCATAAAGATGCATTTTTCCTCATGTTGTATAGTATTACGTCATTTATGACTTCTCATACATTTTGACATATGTGCATAGAGAGACATCTTACACTTGCTACTGAAAGGAAAATGAAACATCTTATTTATTGTTGAAAGGATTTTTGGGAAAAATCACAGTTTTCAAACTCACTCATATTTTTTTGGCAATTTCGGTAAAAGATTTGGGTTTTCATTGAGATACTTGAAAAGCATGCCTATTTTCTGGAACTGTGAACGAGCTGAGCACTTTATTTTTGAGATACTCCTTTTATGACTTGTACTATGTTGTTATGAATTGTTGTGGGATATTGGTATTGGACCCGACTTTTGTTCTAGCTCGTCACTACTTTCAACCTAAGGTTAGGTTTGTTGCTTATTGAGTACATGGGGTCGGTTGTACTCATACTACACTTCTGCACCTTGCATGTAAATATTGACTGTTGACGTTGCTATGATCGACGGGAGCCGGAATTGAAGATGTACTTGCGTTCTGATTATAGATGCCTCTTGTTCATGGTAGCCTTAGATTTATAAAACTCTATTTATGTACTTTTCAAACAGATGATGTATTTACTTCATTTCAGCTTTGTAAACTCTATTCTTAGAAGCTCATGATTTATACTACCAGTCCTTGGGGAATGTATCATATTCAGATATTTCTTTACTTAATTGCTTTATTAATTGTTATTAGAATTAGTTAATGGTTAATTGGCTTACCTGACGGGTTGGGTTAGGTACCATTACGACTAGGTGGATTTCGGGTCGTAACAAATTGGTATCAGAGCTCTAGGTTCATAGGTTCTACAAGTCATAAGCAAGTATCTAGTAGAGTCTTGCGGATCGGTATGATGACGT